GTGGTTTCCTGGCTGTGGCTTTCCCACAGGAGGCACTGTGAGGAAAGGCTCTCATGAGGACAAGGGACAGCTGCAGGGGGACAGAGGTGCCCCAAAGCCAGCCTCCCCTCCCACCCCAAAAATAGCCTGAGCCCAGAGTATGCGCCTGGGGAAGCGAAGCCAGGATGACGGGGGTTTGGTGAAACAGACCAGGACCACCATGGCCCAGGGGGCTTGTTCCAGGCGTATTTCCAAGGCCCCAGGGATCGGCACAAGGGCCAGAGGCAAGGAACGTGGGGCCAGTCAGAGTGAACTTTCTCACGGGACCGTCCAGCAGGCCTCACAAAGGCCGGGAGCTGTGTCCTGGAGGTGTGCAAGCCGAGGGTCTGGGTGCAAGGCGACCTCAGAACACGCAGTCCCCATCTCCCAGGCACTGTCTTGTCTCAATGCTGGTATCTGAGTGGACATCTGCTCGTCTCCCAGAGCGCCTCCTGTTGTGTCCATCCCCGGGTGAACCAGACGCCAGCCACAGGAAACAGCCCATGCCAGCTCCCGTTTGAAGAGTAAATATTAGTCTTTTCGAGAGCTGCCCGTTCTCTGTCACTTGGCACAGAGGATGTTGAACTTGGGGTGGGGGACCTCTTGGTCTAAATACACGGATGGAGTCTGTGTCCCTCAGTCACTGCTACAAGGGAGAGCTTCAGAAAAAGCCCCACCCACCCTTTCTCCAGGAGCCGTGCCTGGGAAGAAGATGACTCTGAGCCACAAGCCCTACCTTACCCCTTCTCTCATTGCTCAGACACTGTTCAAGTCTGACTTGACTTGACCTTGAGGTATCTGGGTCCCAGTTCTGATTTATGTGAACGTGAAACACTGCTCACCAGTAAGGAGGAATAGCCTGCCCATATCTTGCCATCAGTGCCCAGAGGAGGCCTTGGGAGCACCCTATCTGGCGGCAAACCCGTTTCTTTCCCCTGTGACCATCCTCATTTATCCCCCCATGACCACTCCTGGATAGTCTTAGCTTCGCCCGATCCTCAGTATCTTAGATTTGCACAGGGTGGGTGGTGAGCAAATGTAACGTTAATCTTTGTGGCAATGACTGTATTTGCAATTACCTAGAAGACACGCCTCTGGGTATGACCTCGAGGACATTTGCAGACAGGCTTAACTGACAGAGGGAAGCCCACTGAATGTGGGTGTCTCTATCCCATGGGCTGGGGTTTCAGGCTGAGTAAGAAAGGAGACAGCAAGTTGAACACCGGCACTCATCTCTCTCTGCTTCCCTACTGTGGACACCAGCTTTGTCACCAACTGCACGGCACGCTTCCTTCCGTGACCTCCCGGCATCCCCTAATGCCACGAACCAAAATAACCTCTTCCTCAAGTCCCTCTTGGTATTTTGTTGCAGCAATGAAAACAACAGGGAACTCTGCCGAGTGAATGGGAATGCGTCCCAAAGCCCGAATCCAGCCAGCCACTGCTCTGTTTTGTCCCAGGGAAAGGTGGGGACAAGGCTTCCATCCCCCAAGGACTGCTGGGCAGGGCAGGGAACTCTGACACAGGAGGCCCTGCCTCAGTACCTGGAACATCTTGGCGGGAGAAATAAAAACTGATAAAAGAGGAGCGTGGCCCCCACTCACCACCGAAACAGAAGCCCCCTCCCCCAACTCTTGGTGGCCTTCGGGGACAAATGGAGCTACAGATTGACTAGAAAAGGATTTGAGTGAAGTCGAGGGAAGCCAAGGCAAGAACTCAAGCGGGAACCTGGAGGCAGGAACTGAAACAGACCATGGAGCAATGATACTGACTTATTCCCTGAGTCTACACAACAAGCTTCAGTATATAAGGCACCGCCTGCCCGGGGGTGGCACCACCCAGTGGGCTAGACCCTCCTTCATCAGTTAACAATCAAAGAAACACCCCACAGGCGTGCATGCCTGTAGGCCCATCTGATGGAGGCAGTTCCTCAATTAAAGTTCTCTAGTTTGTGTCAAGTTGAATGCCTCTCTTGATATTCACTAGCCCTCCTGACTGACCTGCGCAGAGGCTGGGGCACTGACAAGATGGCCTCGTGACCTGTTGTGCTCATCCTGGTGATCTAGATTGATTATGTTTCCTGATGAGGCACTTGGGGCATTGACAGGCATCTTACGGTACCTGAGGACGGCCAGCACACTGAGGAGAGCAGCAGAAACACAGGGGTCTATGCGGGCTAGAGTTGCTCGGTTAGCCCTGGGGCATCAGCCTGGCCAAGTCCTTTGTGGAAACCACAGAGGACAGCCTGGAGCAGCCTGGGTCTCTTCAATGTTTCTCCCACTGTGGCACCCTGGGACTCAGGGGTGCTGGGACTCCGGGACTGAGACAGGACTGGCGTGATACAAGGGAGGTGGTTGCCGAGAGTGTGGATCTAAGCAGGTAAACAAAACAGCAGCGTGAGAATCAAGGTAAATAATATTTTAATGCAGTATTTTAAAATATCAAAATTAATGCAAAAATACAGGATGAATGATACATGAAGACAGAATCAGGATTGCTGACTGGGTGGTCTCATCTCGCATCTCCAGATAGGGCACACCCAAACGAACCAATGTTTGGCAATATACAGAATATCTGAGGCATGACTGTGGCATCTGGAGAGCTGGGCTCAACCTCATCCTCCACAATGACTGACTCCCTTCTCTGGATTTTGGTTATCCCATCTGTCTTGTGTGGAGGCTGGGGCATTGCCAAGATGGCCTCCTGATGCACCCCTCTGGCCTGCTGGAGTTACTCTGTGTCTTCAGAGTCAATGACTCCCGGGGCTATTAATATCCTGGCCATCCCTGGCCAGAGCAGGGTGTTTAATGACTGCCAGCTGTGGCTCCACCCCATTCCCCTTCCCCCAGAGAGATAAGAGCCAGTCCTGTTCCCACATGGGGGGAGGGAAGCTACCACTGCTCATTAAAACAAGACCTTGCGTGGCAGCTAGGATGGAGGGGCTGAGTCAGACTGCTCACCCCACTGTGCTCCGAACACCCTGGGGGGGGGGTGCCTGGCAACTTGCTCTTTCACTCACTGTTTCTTCCAAGGGACTGCCTTGGTCTTCCCACCGTCTGTCCCTTTAGGTCATGTTTCCAATAGGTCTCTCCTCAGACACCCTGCAGACATGACAGTCAACATTGTCTCCCCAGCTGACCTCCTCCCCTTCCTGTTGATGTCCTAACATCTTTTACACACACACACACACACACACACACACACACACACACACCCTGGGTCCTTCTCTGTATTAACCCCCTTCCATCTCTCCACCTCATCTAACAGACCTTCTCTGTCTCTACTGGCAAAGCACCTCCAACATCTACTCGGCTGGATTCAGGTGTCCCTGACACCTAGACATGTTCCCTTGGGGTCCTAAGACCTCTCCTAGCCCTCAAACACCTCAGTGATGTTCTCCTAGCTGGTGGACCAGCCTCCTGGGACAGGTCGTGCCCCAGAGTGAGAAGACTGCCTGCAAACAGGCCTTTTCCACAGAGTGGACGGAGTGTCCCTGAGGTCAGCTGGTACAGCTTCCTGTCCATACCCATCTGAGTTAACTGGCCTTTGGAGACTGTGGGTAGGGCTCAGTTTGAAGGAGCCACCAGCTGGCCTGGGTATGATCCTTACCACACCCTCTATCTCAGTCTTGGGAGCTCAGAACAGAGGCTTGCTTTCTGTGTTAATTGCCTCCCAGTGAGAGACCCAGTTGACAGAAAGAAGCCTGAGGGTGGTCAAGGTTGATGAAGTCTTTGAAGTGTCCACCAGATGGTGTTAGAATGAGTTGGCCTGGTTTGACAGGTGCCTGGCAGAGCCAGAGAGTAACCTGGGTGTTGGCAGGGGAAGAGGGGACTGGGCTAGCCCTGCCTGTAGTCTCCCCTGCCCCACAGCTGTCACTAAGCTAAGACTGAAACACAAGTTTTCTTAGCCCCGCAACCAAAGCTCTCTTTACCCCAGCACACCCTCCACCAAGCATCTCACCTCCTAACCCTCCTTGAGCAGTGCCCCAACTCTGCCCTTCCTTTCTTGAACCATCTTGGGTCTTACTTTTACACACTCTTTGTCCTCTTGACTGGTAACTGCTCCATGACTTACCCCACGCACAACACACTACTACTGCTGGGGAGATCTGGGGACCTTTCATTTAGGCATGGGGCCCCTTCTGGCATTCACATGCCTCAGAAGGTGATTCTGATCTGTCTTGTCATGGTCCTGAGGGCAGCAGTCTTTGAGGGGGCCTTGCAGGCAGACCTGAGTTTCTGCTAGCCCATCCTGGCCTCTCTGCACCATGCCACGTCTGGCATGTCAAACAAGACAACTCCACATGCTTGCAAAGTGGAACCAAGGAGATGCATTTGCACAAACCCTTGGGAGCTACCTCTCGCTCATCTACCAATGTTACTGGCTTGGCCACACTGCCATGTCTAACCTTTCCGTTAGTCACACAGCCTCTCCCAGCTGACTTGTCCCGGGACATTTGCATTGATCTAATCCTCCTGGTTGGTTCCTAGGCAACAGCAACCTAGCTGTTTGCTGTGTTTTCAGAATAATTGTGAAACCTTGCTGTTTTTCCCTGTCCTATTGGCTGTTCTGACTTGGTCTAAGGCAGAATCTGTCTCCTTCCAGATGGATTTAGGGGATGAGGGTCACAATGGGGCCGGTTACAACCTCTTCAAACTCAGGTGTGAGTCAAAGGCTCTGGGGATAAGTTCTCACCCATGTGGGGCTCCAGTCCAAAGCCAGAAGGGTGTTAGCTTTAGTGAGCCATCTCTCATTGGAGCAAGGTGACACACAGCAGCCAGGGGGAACTAAACCTGTCAGAGCCAATAGTTATTGTCACACAAGCCTGGTGCAGTTCAGAGGGGGACCTGCTGACATCAGCTTGGGTTACAAGCTGTGTGGCTGTAAGGGTGGAGGGAGCCATAGGATGCCTTGACCCCCCCAATGTCAGTGACACACTCAGCCACCTTCCAAGAAGGCAGACGAATTGGGGGATGAGGGCAGTAACATCTCTGTTAATACAACCCCAAGAGATCCCAGCAGGTCACGGTATGTAAAAAGGTAGTCTTTATGTTGGCATTAGTGACAGGAAAAGATGCCTGTTCCCTCTGAGACTCAGTTTCCCTACCTGCGACATCGGGGTGACCTCAGGATGACCTCTGAACCAAGGGGCCTGTGAGCTCATGTCTCTGGCCCTTGCTGCATGTAGATGAGCTCCCACGGTGGGCAGCTCGCTATTGCTTTGGTTGTGCATAAGGCTGGTGACAGACAAAGCCACTTGGTGAGCATTGGCTGGGGCTATCGTCTCCCTTCCCAGTGGAAGGTCCCTGAGCTCCCAGGTCCGTGGATATTCCGACGCTGGGACAATTTTATCCTGAGTGAGGATCACAGCACAGCTGTGGTCCCCAAACCCAAACTCCAGGTCACAACCATATATCTGTCTGAGGTAGAGGAACTCACCCACCCGGAGGACTCCTCAGGGAGGAGTCTCATTGGCAACTCTTAGCCCAAAGCGACTTGAGGGCCACAGTGGAATTCTAGGCACGTACTGGGCAGAACCTTTTTGCCCTCAAGAGTCCCAAAGCTTTGCGAACAGGCGGCTGCTTTCCCGGCGGTGTATGCAGATTCTGTGCGCATGACTGGCAGAGGGGCCTTTGGAGGCGGAGTCTGATGCTGGTCCCTGCCCGCATCCTCCAGGGCTGGACCTCCCTGCTCTCCAGCTCGCACGGATCCAGTCCTGGCTGCAGCAAAAGGAATGTGTCCAGACAGACCACTGCAGACCTCTGCTCCAGGGGCCGGCGTGGGGAGGGTGCGAAGGGGCCTGGCGGCCTCTGGCGGTCAGACTAGGGAGACCTCGGCTTGGAAGCTGGAGGAGCGGCGCGCGCTGGGGCTGACGCGGGTCAGCATGGACACCTGCGTGCTGCACGTGGCGCCGTTGCTGCCTCCCCACGGGTGCTGGGATTTGGAGCTCCAGCCCAGGACGCCCTGCAGATGCCAACGCCGCCACTTCCGCCGCAGCTCCGCCTGCACCTAGGGGTGGAAAAGGGTGACTAGGCCCATACTGTGGCATTCCAGCGCAGGCTTGTTAAACGCTAGCCAGAGATGCTCCCTAGCTTAAACTGAGAGAGGAACCGAGTTGGCCCAGGGTTGGGAGTCAGAGAATCAACCCAGGAGAGCTGGAGAGGGGGAGATGGGATGCAGGTCACGAAATACAGAACAGGGAAGCCAAGGCTGCTGCCTGGAGAGTGTACCCCAATCCTTCATCCAGGCATCCACTTGAGCACATTTTTGTGGCCACAACTACACCTCCCCTCGATGTGTGACCCCGTTTCATCCCACACACACTTAGCTGCAAGTAGTCGCCACCTGGGATGCGCCCAGGAGCCTGGCGCCTAACCCCGCCCGGGGGTTGTTAGTGCAGGCTGTGTCCTCAGGCATGGAGGGCTCTACACCTCAAGAGAACCGCTCTTGAGAGGCGCAAGCTTTGGAGTTTTTTTGGGGGGTGGGGGTGGAGTTTTGAGGCAGGGTTTCTCTGTGGCTTTGGAAGCTGTCCTGGAATTCTGTAGACGAGGCTGACCTCGAACTCACAGAGATCCGCCTGCCTCTGCCTCCCGAGTGCTGGGATTAAAGGCCTTTGCCAGAGCCGAAAGTTTTAAACTATCCTTGCTCTCAGTGGTCACCCTGAGCCTGGGAGTTCTGGTCCCAGGCCACCAAGATCTGGGAGGCGCTTACCTCGCCGTTGAGGAAACAGTAGAGGATGGCCACCACGAAGCCCTGAGGAAGAAGGTGACAAGAGAGCTGAGGCAGAGAGACCCCAGGCTCTCCCAATCCCACCCAACCATGCCCGGTTCCCCACAGCCCCTTTATTCCCCGGCTGAGGAAGGACACTGACCACAAAGTAGGTGCTTAACCAGCACTGTGGCGCAGCCCCAGGTGAATTCCCTAAGCCCACGTTCATACCTGGAAAGACCCCACGACAAGTTCGAAGACCATTTTCACCTCAGCCTTAAAGTTGTCAGGGAAGAAGGCAAACATGACATAGTGAACTCCAAAGAGGGGGATCAGCAGAAGTGTGGACTTGGCCAGCCTCCTGGGGATAGGGAGAGGCTGTGGGTATGTGTCCACACGAGTAGATGGGTGTGTGTGTCCACACGAGTAGATGGGTGTGTGTGTCCACACGTGTAGATGGGTGTGTGTGTGTGTCCCCACGTGTAGATGGGTGGGTGTGTGGCCACAGTTGTAGATGGGTGTGTCTGTGTGTGCACACGTGTATATGGGTGTGTGTGTGGGTCCACACGTGAGGATGGGTGTGTGTGCCCACACGTGTAGATGGGGGTGTGTGTCCACACGAGTAGATGGGTGTGTGGGTGTGGCCACACGTGTAGATGGGTGTGTGTGTCCACACGTGTAGATGGGTGTGTGTGTCCACACGTATAGATGGGTGTGTGTGTCCACACGTGTAGATGGGTGTGTGTGTCCACACGTATAGATGGGTGTGTGTGTCCACACGTGTAGATGGGTGTGTGTGTCCACACGTGTAGATGGGTGTGTGTGTGTGTCCACACGTGTAGATGGGTGTGGGTAGACCAGATGACCAGTGATCAGTGGCTCCCCCACCCGATGCCATGCCCACATTGACTGCTGTCCCCTGTCAGTGTTCCTGTCCTCTTGTCCCCTACTTCCTTGCCTGGGGAAGCACATGAGAGAATTGAACTCCCTCCATTCTCTCTCTTCTGGAGGAAGGCCACTGAGGATGGAATAGGAAGAGGCAACACTTCCCAGTCTCCCTCTTCCCGGTCAGTCTCCCCTGCCTGAAGCGTGGGGTACTGCATACCCAACACAGCTTATCAGAGACGCTGCCTCCCTGGAAATGCTCTGCGGTGTATCTACAGACACACGCTCCTTTGGGGCATGAGAACTCAGGAATGAAGTCTTCCTAGATGCAGGAAGGTGATGATGAGCACTCAGCTTTAAGCCTGGTCATCTGCTTAAGATGGGCAGATTTGTGGTCACCGCTCTTCTGCTGTGGCCCTGTCTCTGGCATGTGCCACTTTCCCTGAGCCTGCATCCCTCCTCCAGGGTCCAGCTCCAAAGAACCAGCTTGTCTTTCTGCCACCCTGGTGCCAGCAGGGCCAGCATTCCCTCTTGGCACTCATCTGTCCCTCCACGTGTATCCACAGCTGACCCAATAGCTGGTCCAGGAAGTGAGGGCCGTGGTTCCCTGATTCCTGGCCGAGACTAGGTTGGGGGAGGAGGGATGTGGGTAGGATGGGGACACATGTTTGCCCCTGCCTCTCTTGCCTTAGTCCTGAGATCCTACCCCAAGCTCTGTGCAGATGCACCCTGGTTCTTCCCCTCCTCCCTGTGCTTGGCTCCCAGCCACACCTCTTTGGCCATGAACCCATCCCACACTCGGAGGCTGACAGATGGAGGCTTTCTTTAAATTGAAGAGTGGGAACTGACAGCCCCTCCTCAGGAATTGCCAGCTCCAGCTCCCCTTCTGCCTGTGACAGCTGTTCCTCTCCATCTCACCCACACAGACCTGGCCACAGCCAGTTTGGGTTCTGCCCCCCATATTCTAGCCCCCTGCAACTGGACTTTTGGGGAATAAGGGTGCTAAGGTAAAGCACACCTGTGTGTGCAGTATGTCAGTGGACAAGCCCCACAAGTCTCCTTCTGGAAAGGAGAGTGGTGTTCTGCCCACACAGCCTGCTGGGTACAGAATGCTGTCACACCAGCAATGGGAGGAAGCCTCAGCTCAGGCCTGACAGTCACAGGATTCCAGAATAGAATCCCAAATCCAGCAGCTCGTGACTCCCTAGCGGGGAGTCTTCCAACCACAGCTGAGATTCCCCTAACAGAGGCCAGTTTAAGGACACCTAGGATCCCAGGACTGATGGCCCCTGTGGGACTGCCAGGCTTATCTGGCCGGCATGGTGGGTCTTCATCCTCCATTGTCACGGTGAATGTCCTATGGGCCGTTGCATAGGCACCCTGGTCACGTTTTGTGTCTTTCCCTTGCCCATAAGTTCTGATTCCCATAGGAACTCGCTGGTCTCCCCAGTGCCCAGCACAGGTGATAGCTGCTCTCTTTCCAAGCAATGCACTCAGTGACTGTCCTGCAGACACTGTGGCCCCCTGTGAAGTTAACGCCAACTGTCACCTTGACAGGATTTAGAACATGGATGAGTCAAGCCTCTGGGAGTGTCTGAGAGGGGCTTTCTAGGTGGGGCTGAGGTGGGAAGCCCTACTCTGACCACTGGTAGCACCATCCTATGGCTAGGGCCCCAGACTGAATAAAAAGGAGAGAGTGAGCTGTGTACTAACGTCCCCTCTCTCTGCTTTAAGGCTGTGGATGTCATGTGACCAGCTGCCTTACCCTCCGCCGCCATGCCTCTGCCATGATGGACCTGCACCCTTGAACCCTGAGCAAAAGTAGAGCTTTCTTCCTGCAATTGCTGGTCGGGTTTGTTGCAGCAATAAGGAAATCGAACACCACTTGTCTTCCCACCCATAGGGGTATACCCCAAACCTCGGAGGGTGACACAGTGTGCATCTGTCATTTCGAGTGTGACATGGGCTGATGCATGGAGATCTTTTGGCTGGTGCCCAGCACGAAGTCTGCAAGTGAGATTATCATGACTGGGGACCACTGAGCATGGCTGCCTCCTGGTGGAATGGGAGCTCCTGGGAGCATCACCCGCTGGACATCTCTTGTGTCCCCTTCCTTCCCTTACCAGGTACAGGCCAGGGACTGAGCAGTGTGTGAAGAAGGCACAGGTTTTTCACTCCCCTCAAGCTCCCTGGGAGCAGCAGGTTTGAACTTCAAGGACACTGGGTGCAAATGGGAATGGCAGATGCTGGGCACAGAGGGAGGGCAGCATGGTGACAGGCACTGGGCGCTGAGCCTGGCTGTGGATGAGAGTAATGCCTGGCTCTGGGTAAGTCTAGCTGTGTGGAGTGACGTGCAGGGGTGGAGGTCCGGAGCTGGGGTGCTGGGCCGACACTTACGAGTACGGGCTGCTGTCATTCTTCCCAACGTCGGGCGGCCGTAGTTTCTGAACCAGGATTCGGATGATGCAGATGAACAGGATGAAGTTCACCTGTTGAGTGAGGGACCCCAGTGTTGGCCACTTACGGGAGGCTGGGGTGGGCTGCCTTCCCCAGGGCTCTGCCAGCCCCTCCATGGCAGCTCCTCCCTTTGGAGAACATGGCCTGGGGACTCTCCTGAGGTCCCACCCTCCAATTTACTGCTTTAGAGGCAGCACTGGAGGCATGGCAGAAACCTGAGGTTCATTTCTGACCCAAACACCCTTTCCTGTGGTTGGTTGTCTGTCTACTCCGGGCTCAGTGGGGCGGGGCTTACCAAGATGGAGGTGAGGATGGGAGCCTTTATGATCCACCACAGTGAGGAGCTGATGGTGTCCCAGCACCTGGAAGGAGCACAGGGGTTGGAGGAGAGGAGTCCTCAGCCTAAGGTCTATGGCTCTGCCTCCAAGCCCAGGTCTGCTGATCCCCACATCTCCCTCCAGCCTCTCGCTTTGGGCTTGGTGCTGTGCCCTGTCTGCCTGCCAGGCCTGGGCAGTTATCATCTTTCCCAGGGACTCTGCCCCCAAATGACAGCAGCCAGAGGGAGGGGATGGAACAACAGCTCACCCAAAATCCTCAAAATGGATCCTGACAATGGTCCACACCATGGTGAAGACACTGGGCACCCCTGTGAGGGCCAAAGAAGAGTGGAAGAGAAGGAAGCAGGCCGGGAACACAGAGAGAGCATTTGGAGAAGGAACCAGAGGGAGGGGGAGAGACAAGGGTGGACACTCAGGGCTGCTACCGCCAGTCACACAGGCTGTTCACCGAGTAAAGACTCTCCAAGGGCTACCGAGGCTGTGTGCCTGAGGGGAGGGTCTGGGGCCACTCAGACAGGTTTTTTTTTTTCTTTTATGATTTTAAACACTTATAGATTAGCAGTGGCCCTGAGTGTCAGGATCAGAAGTGGGGAAATGGATGTCTTGGTCCAGGCTCTGCTGGACTGTACAGCAGCTGTAGAAGACTTCGAGATGGGGCTGCCCTGAGGTCACACATTCTGGGGTCATTTGTCACTGTTGGTGGAGAACCTCATAAGGAGGCTAGGGTCGCACCCTCCCTCCCACCTCCCAGGGAGCCCTTCCAGCCTTGCCCCCTCCCTGGTACCATACCCCAGCCGACGAGTATGTACCCCCAGAAGTACTTCCTCTCAGAGAAGAAGGAGACGGCCAGCAGGGTGTGTAGGTAGAGTCCCTCTACCAGCAGCCAGAAGAAGTTGGCCATGATGCAGTACTGGAAGAAAACCACAGCTGCCTTGCAGCCTACCTGCGGGAGGAGTGAGGGAGGTTCAGGAGTGGCAGGTCCCTGGATGCCCAACCTCTGGTTGCAGGGACAGACCCAGCTGTGACCCAGCAGGCTTCATCACTGTCAGATCCCCATCAGGCTCTTGAGACATACTGAGTGGTTTTTTCCTGTAACCTTGATTTATATTCTTGGGCACCTTGAGCCAAGCTGGTAATTTAAATTACCCATCTGTCAATGTGTCTTCTCTATGTCTTCTGGCTACAGATCCCAGTGTCTCTGGGCATGTCCAATCCTCAGTCTGTGGCTGGCTGCACGTGGCCAAGAATAGCCCTGGAGGCAGTCCAACACAAAATGGTAAACTTGTTTAAAATGTTAGGAGATTCTTTTTTTTTTTTTTCTGGTCATATTTTCGGTAACTGGATTTCGAGGTTCTCCAGCATGGGCTTGATCAGTACCAGCATGACGTCACATCATCAAAAGGTTGGACAAAAGGTGGAGACATGCCTCCTGTCTGCCTGTACCACCCCTGCCCATTTACTCATCTAGCAGAGATCTGTCTCTGTGTGTGCACATCACGCATGCTTGAGTGTATCTGCAGTTGACCTCACTCCATAACCAGGCCAGTCTAGAACTCACTATGTATCCCTGGCTGCCTTCCAATTTAAAGCTAGCTTACCTCAGCCTTCTGCATACTGGGATGACAGGTGTGAGCTGCCATGTGTGGCTTTATCCATTTACTGACTCCTGACTCATAACAACTCAGCCATCAATCCATCTACCACTCAGACATCCACCCATCAACTGTATCTGCTCATCCATCAACCTACCCACCCACTCACCTGCCTGTGAGTCTCCCCACCCACTCACCTGCCTGTTTCCCCACCCACTCACCTGGCTGTCTGTCTCTCCACCCACTCCCCAACTGTCTCTCTGTTCACTCATTTAAGCTGTCTCTCCATTTGTTAACCACTCCTCCCATATAGCACTGCGGCTTTTTTGAGTCGGCCCAGGACTGGTGCAGCCCTTCCTATCTGTCCATCTACCCGTCCCTCGGATGGCCCTATCGTCTTTCCTCTCTCCATCTTGCCCTCTGCCCACTCAGCCCTGCACACATCTTTGTACCCTCTGTGCAGCCAGCCCATCTCTCCCTGCCCCCTGTCCTCCAGTGAGGATGCAGGGAGAGGGGACCCTGAGGGTGCATTCTTGCTGGAGACTTCAGGAGTTCCCTGGTCCCTTTGGAGGGGGCCCAGAGACATTATAGTGCAGGCTGACAGGAGGGCAGAGTGGGGCCACAGCCGTGACACAAGCTGGTCTCTGTTTGGAAGAGGGAACCTCAACTCATAAGTGTCCCAACTGATGTGGCCCGTGGGTAAGGCTGTGGGACATTTTCTCGATTGACGATTGATGTAGTCGCCCGTGATGGGCAGTACCGCCCTCGGGCAGGCGGTCACGGGCACTATAAGAAGGTAGGCTGAGCAAGCGAACAAGTAAACTGTTCCTCCATGGCCTCTGCTTCGGCTCCTGCCCTGGTTTCCTTGGAGGGACATCTGTAAGCTGTAAGATGAAACAGCCCTTCCTCCCCATGTTGCTTTTGGTTGTGGTGTTTATCACAGCAATAGAAAGCTAAGAGAGGAAGGGAGGGAGGCAGAAGTGAGGAAAAGGAGAAGGGAGGAGTTGGATCTTCCTTCTGGGAGATCAGGAACTGGTGGGAAGATGGCCGGTCAGGAAAGGACAACAGGAGATCGGGGGAGACATGGAGCTGGGAGTTCAAGGGGCTCTGTGTGGCCTAGTTGGCATGAAAGGACTTCTGGGCCTCTGTCTCCTCTCAAACCCCCTCACTCATTTCATGGCTTCAAGCCACCTTCCCAGGGGAGTCTTTTATTTCTTACTCCCCCTACACACAGAACCTGGCTTTCCTCCCTTCCCTTTGAGGCCCTGGGCCGTGAGGCATCCTCATGGAGCAGCCTTCCCGCTGCTCCCTATGATTGGGAAGTCCTTTCCTCAGTCACACTCTAGTCTCTCCAGCTGCAGGCCTGCCTTACTGGCCTTACAACCTGGGTTGGGAAAGCCAGATCTGACCATGCTACTGGACAAGCTCTGGGGGTGTCAGGCCTCTCCCTGGTCCTGCACTTGGCCCTGGTGTGTGGAGTTACCCTGGCTTTTTCTACTTTCTTGAGACCCCACCATCAGTGGAAGCAGGCACCGATGATCTGGATGCAGTGTGCTGCCTCTCTGGCCTCACGCAGGGCACAGCACAGCAGGGAGTCCTGACTGCTTTAAGCGCTGTCCTAGGTGGCCTAGTCCCTTGAAGACTATGGTAGTTAATATCGTCAACTTGACAGAAGCTCCAAGTCCCAGGAGACACGCCTTTGTCATGTCTGAGAGAGAAGGAGCTTTAAGATTTAGTTAATTGAGGAGCTGGGCAGCAGCACCCCATGGGCTGGGGTCCCAGGCTGAATAAGCAGGAGAAAGTTGAGCTTCCTGACTGCCACGGGCCTACCTCCATGCCTTCCCCGCCATGTTGGACTGCACTTTCACACCTGAGCCAAACAAATCTCTCCTTCCTTACAGTGTATCTCTCAGGTGTTTTGTCATTGCAATGAAAGAAGAGTAACAAATACAGAGACAGACCCCCCAGTGCCCCGCCATGAATTCCTCAGGGTTTCCCTGAGTCGGCTGACCCCTGGGAGGCCTAGGGCTGGGCTGAGGGAGGCAGCTAGTGAGAGCAGGTCAGGAGGGACAGTGGTGTGGCCACAGAGAGCAGAGGGTTGAGGAGGGAGGAATTTGGGGAGGACTTGCATAGACGGGGAAACTGAGGCAGGGAGTTGCCTAAGGTCACATCAGAAACTAGTGATGAGGCAGGATGGAGGCCCTGGGCCTGACTGTGAGGTGCCCACGTGCATTTCTTAGTAACTGAGGCAGATATGTGAACTCCCGAATGACCCAGAAACCGGCTGCAGCTGCTGAGAGGGGGGTGGGATTTGAGGAGTGGTCAAGGTGTGTGGGCTCTGTCCCGAGAAGAGAGAGGAGGCACAGAGCTGAAAGAGAGAGGAGAACGGGAAGAGGGGAAGGAGGAGGAGGAGGAGGAGGAGGAGGAGGCAGAGGAGGAGGAGGAGAAGGAGGAGGAGCAGAAGCACACAGAGGATATGGAGCAGGGTGGGTGGGGGAGTCAGGCAGGTCCTCACCGAGCCCTCAGAGCAGTGGTCCATCTCTCCGCTGTTGAAGAGAGCCAGGTCCTTGATGAAGACAGCAGTGGCCCTCAGGATGAAGGACATGAAAAGGTGCATGTGGATATAGTTTCGGGTACAGTGTAGCTTCCTGCAAGGGGCGGATACACCTGGGATGTGGAAGGGACCTTGGACCACCCCTGATTGGCCCGGTGCCCTGCCTTAGGCAAGGCAGTGGGAAGATACGTGGCCTCCATGTTACAGGCCCTGCCTCCTAGGTGACAACCCCAGTCCCCGTCCTCCTAGGCATCAAGAGTGCTTTGGCAGGCTCTCCCTCGGGTGTCCAGTATACAGGAAAGGGGACAAGGCCACTCTCGAGGCCAGGTCTTGGCCATCTGCTGTTGAGGCTGGCAAGGCTGGCAGAGGCAAGGGTGGGGATTGCAAGCTGTCTGACGGTGGACAAACAGGGGGCCATACTGGGGCTCCACCAAAAAGGACACATTTCACTTCAACTGCCAGGGCTGGGCCTCACCTGAACAGGCTCAAGATAGCCATGGCAACCAGGAGGCTGGCAAGGGACACCTTTTAGCCGATGGTGTAGCCAGTCTTCACGGCACTGTAGAACTCGGTCTGTCTCTGCTGGGGGGAGGCAGGCAAGGATCTTGGGTAGGAGTGAGGGGACCTCAGCTTGGGACTGTTGATGGGGCATGGGCTGGCTCTACACAAACGGGAGATGTGCTCAGGGCTCCCAAGAGTGGTGATGGCTAAACCCTGGTCTTCACAGACACACGGACACTGTGCCCAGAGGGAGGTGGGGTAAAACGGGGTCTCTCTTCTGTGCATGGGCAAGAGTAGGAACCCTACAGCTCCTACTTGTCAATCACTCATCTATTTTTTTAAAAAATAGAGTTGAGAGAGAAAGAGAGAGAGAGAGAGAGAGAGAGAGAGAGAGAGAGAGAGTCTCCCTGTATAGCCCAGGCTAGCCTCAAACTCCAGCCTCCCAAGTGCTGGGATTACAGATACAGAGAGGCAAGCCAGCTTGAGGGTTAGCCCAGGCTAGTCTCAAACTCACGATCTTTTCGCCCCAGCTTCCCAAGTGCTGGGATAGCGGATATAGAGAGGCAAGCCAGCATAGGGGTTCTGTTTCAGTTTTGGCTGCTCTGAGGACAGCCCCCCTTGGGTGTGATCCCTATGAAGGTCAAGTGTGTAACCCACTGTGGGAGCCAGGGGACAGGCCTCGGGAATGTGAGCTTGGGGAAGGTGGTGTCCAAAGGCACAGGACTCCCTCACCTCATCCAGACTAGATGCATTGTCATCCAGTCCGCAGGCAATGTAGTAGGAGCCCGGCTCCAGTTGTGACCAGCCTTCTTCAGTGCAGCTGCGGCTGACGTTATGTCCTGGAAGCAGGTGACAGAGGGAGGAGTCTAGAGCCAGGAGGCAGGGCACAGGACACAGAACTTTGTCTTGTTCTCTCCATGCTCTGGTGTTGCTGCTGGGCTTCAGTTCCCAGACCCAGGCCTCTGGGGTTCCCCTGAGGTGAGGAGAAGTTCCGGCAGGGCCACTGGGGGCCTGATGACAGGCTCAGAGCAGATGTCCCTGTGACTGCATTTTACAAAACGGAATTTGGCTCCTTTTTTAGCGCAAACACAGAGGCAGGAAGACTCTGGTTTGTGTACACGGTCATCACCTGTGTAGCACCAACCGGAAGGCGCAGACTGATGAGTGACTTAGTCATGCAAAGAGAAAGGCGTCACGCTCTACACTTACCAGAGCACATTAAGAACATGGGAGCCCATGTCAGAAGAATCAGGCAAGAAACCGTCAAACACACCAGACCAATGAAGGGCTCAAAAACCCCCCTCAGCTGAACCCCACAAAGAGCAGGACACCTAATGCTAGGATGGGCCCGCCGACCTATTATCTGAACACCCAGTGTGTGTGGCAAGGCTCAGAGAATGCCTCCTTGTCCCTGAGGTTGCAGCTCAACGCATTTCCCACTGTTTGGCATGGCCACTTGAATTTCTGTCCACCTGTCCATTCATCTACTTGTCTGTCTGTCCATCCATCTGAACCTGGTCCTATGTCTTGCCTCAGTGGTCCTGTACCTCTACCAGACTGGGCACTGTGTCTGGGCTCTGCACCTCCTGGAGCCCGCTGATGGAGATCTTAGTAACTTATCTAACAGCTGTCAGCTCTGCTTTGATGTCTGGAGAATGCTGGGATTGCAGGTGCACTCCACATGTCTGTATTTACATGGGTGCTGCGGCTCTGAACTCAGGTCTTCATGCTCACACAGCAAGAGTTTCACTCCCCCGACCCCAACCCCAGAGTTATCTCCCCAGCCCTCCTGCTGCATTTTATCCAGCTCAAGAAGAAGACTTCCTTCTAACCCTGGGATTTTTATCTTCTGTAACAACCAAGACTCTTTGTAGGGAGCATGTTTCCCTCAGCACTGTTACCCCGAAGGACAGGAATGGGGAGTGGCCTCACTCTTTATCCACTCTTGGAAATACCCCCCTTTGTGGTGGTGATGCCTTGTTTATGAGATCATAACGGGGTTGAAGGCCACTGCTCCCACACTTTCATCCACGGTCTCTCCTGTATATCCAGTCACAAGCCATAGTCTCCCATATTCTCCATCAGCCTCAGGGGTGGGCTATTATTAACAGAGGATTGTATTATTAACTGATTAGTAATAATAGTAGAATAGTTTTGCTGCATAGGCTGTTCACTTCACAAGGACATCTGGCTTCTGGGTCCTGGGGGCTCAAATCTTCATATTCAGGTTGTGCCTAAGGAAGGACTAGGGCTTGTTCACACCCCCCAGGTCCTCATCATGAGCGTGCCCTTCTCCTCCCTTCCAGAACCTCTGCCCATTGACTATAATTTGTTCATTGTCCCACTAGCACCATGACTCCCAGAGGGTAGGCAGGTGACAGTTTCCAAAGTCCCTTCACACTGTGTAGCACGGGGCTCAGAGTGACGGGGGGGGGGGTACTCAGCTACTGACTGAATGTGGGCTGGAGGCCCTAAGGGCCCCCTTTCCCTTTCTGTCTTACATGTGAGTGGTGGTTGATCAAATAGAACATGACAAGGTGTGTCAGCAAAGCTGTGTGGCGGTTTCCTAGGTCCCAAAAGGTCATCTGTTCCAGGCTGTGACAGACTGAGTCACAATCAAGACAACAAGAACACGGGAGGCAGAGCTCAATCAGACCTGTCAGTCAATCAGTTATCAATTGCTGAGCAAATATTTAGTGAGCCCTTCCCACATGCTTATCTCCATGTGAAGAGCTAATCAAATCCCACAAATCCACTCAATGCCATTCTTGGCCGTGAAGCCCCCGGGTTTCTCTAGGCCCCTTGGATGGCTTTTTCACTTCCTTAAGTAGAAACCCCCTAGCTAGCCCCATTCACAACACATGGCCCAGCTGATGGCCTTCAGCCCAGGGCTCTTACCATGAACAGGGGCGAAAAGCTGAAAGATGAGGGGGCAGTCCATGACGACCACCTGGCCCCAAGGGGTAGCTGGCCAGCAGGTGAGGTTGTCCCACATCTTGCTGCAGCCTATGGGGGTGAAAACAGAGGACACATGTCACCAAATGGGCATAGTGACCACTGTCTTCTCTCTCCTCTCCTCAGAGGGGCTCCCATCTGAGTGGAGGTCACGCCTGCGCAGGCTGCAGAGGTCCTGCTCTGATGGGAAGGAAAGAGGGTCCTCTCTCCATAAGGTACGGAGCGTCCTACAGGGCACCATTTGTTTGTTTATTTTAGACACGGTCTTGTGTGTAGCCCAGGCTGGCCTCGAGGAAGACCTTGAACTTCTGGTCCTCCCTTCTCCACCTCTTGAGTGCTATTGGAACTACAAGTGTGCACCACTGTGCCCAGTTTATGGGATACTGGGGATCAAACCCAGGGCTTGCTGTGCATGCTAACTGCCCACAGAGCTACATCCTGGTTTGAGAGACAAGCACCAGAGATGTCCGGCAGGTAGCCTCCCTGGTTCTGCCCAATAGCCAGCTGTCTCTCATTCTGGATGAGCTGCTGGGCACTTGTCTAGGTGTCAGTCTTTTTGAATGACAAGAGCTGAGGCTTTGGCATCCAAGTACTCAGAGCAGTGGCTTTAACTTTGTGGAGCATTCCAGGAAAAGCGGTCCCTGAACAAAGGGGACAGAGACTGTTTTCATTTTGTTCAGAACTTTTTAACGAGAGTTGGTCAAAGTGTGAGAAGGCCATGTCACCCAGTGCCGTGCCTGCCTGTGGTATCTGACTCAGTGGCGAGCACAGCTGTAAACTCCAATCCACGTTTACAGCTCTCTCGTTCCCAGAGCTTATATTTATAGGCAAACCTTCAGACTGTCTCCTTTACCTTTTACTGCCGTCACGCCTGCACATGCACGGCATTTGACGATAAATCACTCTCCTCTCTGGTGTTTTTCTTTTATAGAGTGTCCTATATATTTCTAGCAGCACAATGAGTGGCCTTCATTTTTATGGTTTGTAAGAAAACAGACATTTAGATTTCAGAATCTTATATTACCAAATTACCGGCAGCAGTTTCAAGCAATTCAACCCCACAGTTCGAGCCTGCCTTCTCGACACAAACAATCCACATTCAAAAACAGCAAGATCCATCCCAAGAGGCTCTGTTAGAGACCATCATTGTTTAAAAACACAAGTATGCATCTTCTGATTCTGTTCTGCGATGGTAAAGGCAGCACTGGAGACGTTCCCATCAGAAGCTGGGTACAGTGGGGCACGCGGGCAGCGGCTCTTCATAGAGCTTGCAAAGCATTGCAGTCTGGCTGGTGAGGGTGCCGAGGGGCATCTCCAGAGGGCCTACAAAACTGGGTGTCCCTGGGCTCTCCTCAAGGAGGCCGTCTCTTGCAATGCTGCCAGCCCCACGGGTTTGCTCAGGAAACCCAACCCCAGAGTCAAAGTCAATGCCAGCTGGGCCAAGCCCAGACCAGCCCAGGTCCGAAGGTTCCCAAGTTCTCAAGAAGGGGGCCTGGGAAGAGGAGGTGGAGGGATGCACCCACTTGGGGAAAGAGCCTCCGGACTCCCAGTGCTGTGGTCATGTGGCAGCCAAGGAGGGGAGTGGGGTGCTGGGGGCGGGACCTCCTGGGGGCGGGACAGAGCCAGCAGCTGCAGCCCAGGAACAGGAAGTCACCCAGAATGCAGC